TTTTTTTTTTTATCGAATGATAAAAGTCGTAAGGATAGATAGATTAGAGAGGGTGGATTGTTCAATATGCTTGTCGAGTTTAGAGCTGTTGTCTATGGCATGAAGTCGCCTTTATATATCATTCCGAGCATTTACATATATTTCTCCACAAGAACATCTACAATCTGGCTGCTATACAGTCCTCCTACCCGTTTAGGAATTTGGTCAATGAATTCAGCTGCCAAGAGAATGTCTCAAAAACCAAGAATCCAGTAATGATTATGGATGATAATCTGATTACCCTGCAGGGCCCTGTGCTTCCCAAAAGGGCGATCCCCCTTCCCTTTTTCGTCCTTAGTCTGTCAGCTGTCGTCCGGCAACGCGGACCAGATTCTAGTTCGGGCTAGCCGATCAGGCTTCCATGGGGCTGAAGATGCTTATTTGAGCTTATTGTAGTAAGCCCTTATGCGGCCCGCTTTGCAGCCTAAGGTGACTATCGACGCCCCGATGTTCGTATTCCTGCGCTTTTACCCAGGACATCCTTGATTGTCATCGGCGATGTTACACACATAGGTGACATCGCGTTGATGCATGGTTTCAGCCTCCTTGCTGAATATGTGTTCTATAGACCATTTTCCTAATACAGTCCATCTCGTGGCATCCAAGACCGTGTGGGAGACGTCTAGTAAATCGCACATTAACTCATGCAAGCATAGTATGAGCTTAGATACGGATTTCTATAAATTCGGCTATGGTACCAAGCAATTCAGGTCTCCAGAAAACACACATCTCTCGAGACTAATCTGCCAAACCACTCCCTCGATCTACTTGCCAAAGAAACACCCCTCAACATGTTGGCCACAGTATTCTTGATAGTCGCAAGTGCGCTCACTGCAAACGCCAAGCTCGGAATTAACTGCCGCGGTTCCGCAAAGTGCAGCGCATTATGGGGACCTTCTGATGCGGCCCAGCAACTCACCAATGTGATTCAACATATCGATGTCAACAGATGGTACGTACGGCCTATTTGCGTCTATCTAAATGTTTACCGTCCGACTCACCTGTGGCGAACAGGTACATGAACGGAGAGCACATTGCCTGTGTTGGCAACCAGGCCGGTAATGGCGGTGGCTATTGTGCCTTCCTGCAGAAGACCGGGGGAACCAACGGCGGTGTGATTAAGAACCTGGCTCACTATATTACGGATCACGGGTATGTTGTCCGGGAGAGTTTGGAGGCAGGTGATTAACATTGTCTGGATGTGTAGTTGCAAGCAGTGTGGTAGTGTGCCATACTTCTACCCTCAGGGTAACAACAATGTGGATGACGGCGAGCTCACATATAACTATGTTGATGGTAAGCTGCTTTGCTTTGGCTATCGGATGATGCTTTTACTGAATGAATCAATAGATCCTTGCGCTACCGCGGGTACTCAGCTTTGTTAAGTCAGTTATAGATTTCGAAACGGCACCTTGTGGTTATTGGTAGTTGACAGCACTGTGCAGTGACTCCATTCTTCATCCCAAAGACAGTTTAAGCGGCACGTTATTATACCGTACAGTCCATAATCAACCTGTCTGACTATTTTTACTTCTAATACTGTGGTGTGGCTCTCTATTAGGTTATGCTTTTCTCCTTCATGGGTAAACATCAAGGCAGGATTCTCATTGTCAAAATGTCGAAGCTATACCGGCTTGTGGCCGGGGAGGAAGACTTTCATTCGAATATTTTCTTATTTACCAGATACTTGGCCAATGATATTGCTCCTGAGGGGGTGACGATCTGCCTGCCCAGCAGTGTTTGAATACCAGATAGCAATTATGGATTATGGAGAATCTGCGAAACAGGAGCCAAACTAGTCAGGGCAAATGCTTTTGCTATGTACTTTCGACTTTCAGAATGAAAACCCTCTATGACGCTTCCTGGAAGCGATATTATTGCATCTCTACACCTGTGTCAGAACAAGCGGTTTTAGATCCTCTGAAATAATTCCCTACAGACTAGAAGACAGAATACCCAAGGGGAAAAAGGATAGTCCTGTAAGGGCGGTAAGCTATATAGGTGCGAACCAGGGCATTCGGAATATATTTAAAATATCCCTCAATAGTGGTCAATTAATAGCCAAACAGGTAAATCTACAACTTCGCCTTCTCATAGTATTGTTTCTGCAGTTCTTTCTCACCCTCAATCCTCCATTCAGCAGTCTTGCGCAATCGCTCATCCACCTCTTCATCCGTCAAGGAAACAGCCTTATCCAAGGGGATCTCCCGAGTCGAGCGCAACTTATACCCAATGTACGTTAAAGTACTGGACGGCTTAACGCGACCCGCAACCGCGTCGCCGCAGAACTGAGCCATGCCATCGAAAAAACGCTTCCCGGCCGGTGTCTTGACCATGAGAAGACCGAAACAATGCGGCATGCCTTCGAACTGCTCGACCACGACCGGAACGCCAACTTGGTACATTTTGCGAGCCAGAAGGAGTCCTTCGTCCGAGAGACCTTCCTCGCCCATGTTCATGTAGATCGGGGGCGAGCCTTTCCAGAGTTCTTTGCGTGCTGCGAGAGGCGATACGAGCGGGTGGATGGCGGCGCTGGCGTTGGAGAACATGTCGACTCGCGGCGGCTTGCAGGGCCAGATGGCGTCTGCGGGAATGTTGGGGGGCTGGTAGAGTGTCTCGGGGACTTGGGACGGCGGGGCAAGATAGTCGTATAGTGCGTTGTTCACGACAGAGGGCATGGACCGTGTCACATCACACCAGGGCGAGCTCATGGCTACTCCGGCTGGCAATTCAATCGGGATCTCCTGGCCGTGGAAGCGGATGGTCGGGGAGACGCGCCGCAGCGTCAGAAGAGTCTGCAGAAGCACCAAGCATAGATTCCCGCCCGCGGAGTCGCCGGAAAAGATGATCTTCTTTGCGGGCACGGGCTCATGGAGAGAGCCGGGGGGTGGCGCAATGAGAGACAGATACGCGACCAGCGCATCCACGAGGGCAGAGGGGAAGGGGTGCTGGGGGGCGAGACGGTATCGCACCGACAAAACGGGCGCACCGGTCCTCTTGGACAGGTGAGCGACTGGGATACGATGGGTGCAAGGATCCATTAGACTGTGGTAAGTCAGTTTATGAGCAAGCACGGAACGGTGGATATAGGAAGACTGACAAGTAAGCCCCTCCGTGAAAGTACAGGATGACCGTGTCTGATTGCGCTTCTTTCCGCAGCGCCTTGTACTTGTCTTCTTCCGAGATATCAGGCTGCGGTGCATTCTTATTCACACCACTACGGTAACCGGTCCACTCAGCCTCGACAGGGACAACACCTGGGATATCGTAGGTCTCGCCGCCCAGTTTCAGATCCTCGAAGGCTTTGAACACGGCTTCTTGTACCTCATTCTCTGGCGGAGGCAAGGTCACTTTCGAAATCCACATAGGACCCTTGATGCCCGGGTCACGCATGCTGCCTTTTTGCTGTTTGCCGACGGGTGTCGTCGTGAAGGTAATAAAAGAGCGGATGATGGCGACAGTTAATTCTGTGCGCAGGTCTTGCTTTCCCGACACCGGGGACAAGCGAATTGTATGAAGAAACAAGGTCTTGAGGATGAGAGGGATCCTCACCACCATTGCCTTCAAAAGAGCGATAGGGCTGCCGAGAGTACTCATGGCGCCGACCAATTTGTCTGCCCTGGTGTATAAAAAGTATAAAGTGAACAACTCTCAGCCTGGAAAACAAAGAATGGCTCCGGATCAACTACAAATCAAAGACACCGAGAGAGACCAGCAATATAAAAAAGAAAAAGGAGCGAGGAGTTCAGGAAGCGGAGATTGAAGAGATCGCCGCTTGTCTCGCAACGACTGCTTAAACGGAATCTAATCTTTCAGGGCGAGCCTCGGTATGCTGGGGCCCTCGACGGGTCCAGCCGAAGGTACAATTTAATCTGATTGATTGATTATTGAGATTAGTCTATTTTATGCAATTTTATGCTTCTTCTTATACCGAAATTACATCATAGCCTAGGGAAGTCATGAGAATCAAGAATCATATGTACAGGACGGTAGTCATCCTTTATCAATCGTCGTATTTACCTCTCGGCCTAATATAAGTTACATCAAAACAATAGCACAGCGCTTTAGGAAGTTGGGTCTGGCTTTTTAGTTTCCGTGGTCGTATTGCCCGGTGCCTTCACTGGCTCCGCTTCTTCAGAGACAGACTCTCGGGGATAGAGAACCTTCTGGTAGACCTGCTGCTCTTGCCCCTTCAACCCAACCCCTGAAGGATCTCTCCGGATCAGAAAATGTTGGACTTTAGCTTCTGACGATGGCATCTGCTTCACAGTATTTTCCCGCCGTCCCGCCAGGAGTCGCATAGTTTCCTCATTGAGTTGCTGGAGTCGATCTTCATGTCCGATACTAAGTTTGTTGATCCAGGACGCTTGAAGCGCACCTCCCAGCAGGGTCAGCAGTATGATCAATCGCGCAAAGGTGCGATGGTCAACCATCGTTTGCTGCTTTCCGTTGTAACGATTCTGCCATCGCTCCCAGTCTTCCCAGGTGGCATTAGCATAGATGGGACTCCAATCCCGTGAGCCTGGCTGAGCCCAGGGTGGGTGTGGACCTTGCGGATGGAGGTTCCATCCAGCACCGGACAGATCGTAAGCCGCCCGCCTAGATGGATCGGATAAGATCTCATGAGCCGTGACTACAATATGGTATCTGTGCACTCTCGTTTCGGGAGAGAGATCTCTGCATAGCGGATGATCATTGCACGGTCGATCCGGGTGGTAAATCTTGACTAGTTCATAGAACCTGTGCTTCGAATATGGAGCATTCCGGTCTTGCTTGAACACATCGTAAGGAGTAAAAGAGGAGGAGGATGGCCAGGAGAGGTCACCTTCACGGAAGCCATCAGCAGTGGCATAACACCGGTGCGGAGAGCGCCGCCCGGGGGGTGGATAAGCTGGTGATGACGGGCATGACGGATTTAGCAAATGCAAACCGCCGAAGCAGAAGACGTGAGGTTTCTTAAACATGGCCGCATGTTTTCAAAGGAGACGTAATTAACTCCCCCAGAGGAAAATAGTAACCATGGAGTGGGAAACAAGAGAGATGTGGAGTCCATTTCATTTGGGTCGCGGATCCACCGGCGATGTCAGTCATCACGTGCCCCCATCGTTAAGCTCCTCCAGTGTGAGCAGAGATCCAGAAATTCCCACCCAGTCCAGTGAACCAATTTCACTCGACCCGTCTGACCATGCCGGAATCACGAGAAGACTACCGCGATCGGTCGCGACACCGATCGCCAGCAAGTCCCCCGCATGCGAAAAGTGAGCGACGACGAAAAGATGATGAATACGAAAGTAGTTCGCGACGTCGGGACGATCGTCGGAGCTCTCGACGAGATAGCTCACGACGCCGGTCATCCCGCAGCCCTTCAGGCCGGAGCAGCCGCAAAAGAGACGAGGATCATCGCCGCCGGGAGCGGAGGGAACGGGCGGATAATTCGGACGACGATCGGAGAAGACGTCGGCATCGTTCACCAGAGGAGCGTCGGCATCGACGCCATCGCGACCGGGATACACACGACGATAAGGAGAGGTCGTCGAGAAGCTATCGGACTAAATCCCGTTCACGCTCACCCACAAGGCGCTCGCACAGTCCCTCGTCACGCGACCCCGTGCGCTCTAGGGGCGCCTTGCCTTCTCAACAAGACGCCTACACATCAGAAGTACAGAAGGACTCATCCGCCCCGCCACCAGAAAAGGAGAAGCCCAATTTCGCCAACACCGGGCGCTTGGCGGCTGAGAGCAATACTGTGAACGTCAGCGGAGGCGGAACTGTGGTTCTCAAATACCATGAGCCTCCTGAAGCCCGCAAACCCCCCGCTAAAGACCCCTGGCGTCTCTACGTGTTTAAGGGGGAGGATCTTCTTGAGGTGGTAGAACTCAATGAGCGCAGCTGCTGGCTTATAGGTCGAGAGAACCTGGTTGTTGATTTCCCTCTGGAACACCCGAGTTGCTCCAAACAACACGCCGCCCTCCAGTTCCGTTACGTCGAGAAGCGAAACGAGTTCGGCGATCGAATTGGACGTGTCCGACCTTATCTCATTGACCTCGAGAGTGCCAATGGCTCAGCGGTCAACGGGGAGAAAATTCCAGATGGCCGATATGTGGAAGTGAGAGACAAGGACGTACTCAAGTTTGGATTGAGTACCCGAGAATACGTTCTCATGCTAGCTCGGACGGAATGAGACTGAAGTGCTTGAGAACCTTGCTATCCAGACGCGGGCTCTACAGCCGTGGAGTTTAGATCACGATACTAATATTGTACATTATAGGAAAGCATTATGCGAAATGGTAAATACATGCTGCAACAATCGTTCTAGTCATTCCGGGCTCTCAGTCACTTTCTTTTCGAGACTCTTAGAATTTGCCGGCCGTCTCCTTCGCCTTACCCTTGGCTTCGCCTAAGGTTTCTTGGGCTTTGCCCTTTGCTGAGCCAATGGTCTCCTCGGTCTTGCCCTTGGCGGATCCCAATGTTTCTTCAGCCTTGCGCTTGCCCTGACCAGCAAGCTCCGCTGCATCCCCCTTTAGCTCGCCCTTGTTCTTGTTGGCGGCGCCTTTGATTGCATCTGCTACTTGTTCTATATGGGAATCCAGTCAGAGTCCAGTCACACAAGGCCAGATGGAGAGGTTACGATGGGTACATACCGCCCTTCTCGATTCCCTTCACTGCCGCACCGGAGAGAACGTCGTCTGTTTTCTTCAGGGTATCCTTGGCTGCTTCCACGGGACCCTTTTGCTTTGCTGCCGTGACTGAGATAGAGCGAGCGCCTCCTACTCGTAGAGATGGAGTAGCTGTGGAACGGACAATGGCGTTCAAGGAACGGGGAGCAACACGAGTGAAAGACATGGTGATTCAATGGGTATGGGTTGAGATGGGGGTTCAACTGTAAGATCAAGCAATGTGGTGTATGGTAAGACTTGGTATCTAGAGAATATGATTGTATCATGGAACTACCGAGTATCACCTCCTTTTTATACTACAGTAAATAACTCGACTTTCTCATTCCAACGAGTTGAGCGTCATGGGCGACGTCATAGGTCACTGACGTCGTTAAACGGTCAGTGACTTGCCTAACCGGGCTTAGTGGGTCAGGATGATTGGCGGCTAAACAAGTAAATGATGGAATTCACCTGCATTTCTACCAACATGTACTCGTAACATGTAATGTTCTGGATGGTTCTTTACGGAGTATTTGGTAAATATCACCAGTCGTTCATGGACTACCCAGGAAGTGCCCCTCGTGATGTTCTCGGAAAGGGCAAGTTGTTGGCCTAAGGCACCAGTGCATGCAAGCCCTAACTTGAAACCTTCAGCCACGACTGAAGTCTAAAATGACTTTTCCTGGTTGGTACAGCAATTCGAAAAGGCCAAAGCCAAGACAATGGAACTATAATCATAGCTTGAAACGCCACGTCCGACTATAGACGAGTTGAATCCGACTGGCAAGACAAACGAAACCTTCCCACTGCGAACGAGGCTAGCCCTATAAGAAAACATTCCACGAAGGCCCACCAAATAGAGTACGATGCATCGGACTAGTACCGGCTATCCTGACGAACTGAAGGAGACCCGCCGGACACGCACCAATCGGAGACCGTCTGGAGCAAAGCTTGGAGGGCGTTATGGTTCTGCCTAAGCACGACGTTGCACTCGATTAAGTAACGGGTTGGCTGCGCCTTGCGGGCGACTCCAGCATCTCGTATTCACAGTCATCGCCTGCAGTCCGTCCAATCGCATTCTTGAGCCACTTCAGACTGCGATGTATATCCTCTCTTACATCCAGGGGACATAATACCAGTAATATAGAAAACTAAGACAGGAGGAGAGAACCCTGGCTATATATATGATCACATACACATCCGCGTCCTGTAGCAGACAAGGAACATCCCAGTGAACAAACATTCCCAACCCTAAAGAGAAGAGAATACACACAAGACCAGAATGGATCAACCCGTCCAACTCCTCTCCTACCAACGTCTCAAGTCAAAGAGTACCTTCATTATCTCCCTACAGCACGGGAACGGCACCGCAACCCCCATCTACGAAGTGGCATGTCTATCCTCGACACCGAACCTCTCCATCTCGCGCCTCCAGCCGGCCCCCCAGCAGCAACCACCATATGGCCATCCACCAGCACCACAACATGGCTATCCACCAGCACCGCACCCATACTACCAACAACACCAACCATACCCTCCTCTTCCTCCTCCAAGCCCATACCCACCACCCCAGCAATACCCAGTCTACAACCACCCCCCACCCACCAGAACAACCATCGGCACCGTCAGCCTCTCCTCCCTCTCCTCCAAAATCACCCTCTCCATCCACAACATCCCCGAAGTCAAAATGAAGCGGCCGGACTTCCTCGCCTCGGGCCACAAATTCACCCACCCGCGCCACGGCACCCTTGAATGGAAAGAGAGTGATCTCCTCGAGAAACGCTTCAAGCTCGTCGACGCGAACAAGACCGTGCTGGCCCGGTTCGATAAGTGGAAGTTACCGGACCACCAGCGGCAGCAATCGGGGTCGTCCTTCTGGGGCGGTTCGTCGTCGTCGAAGAAGAAGAAGACGAAGAAGAAGGCGTGGGCGTTCAAGATCTATGTGAATGCGGATCCGGAGCTGTTGGATTGGATTGTGGTGAGTGGGTTGGGCATGGTTGAGTATCGCATTACTTCGGATAGGGAGTTGGAGGAGGAGCTTTTGGGAGACGATGACGATGACGATATTTGGTCGGCTTTGTTTGGGTAGTATTCTTATTTTTTTACTATTGTTATCTAGTTTGCTTCTGGTGATTGTTCTTTGACTATATTGTTTGTGGTGTGTAGAGATGACTGTGGTAGTTTGTTGGGATGTAGTTAGGGTTAATGTGTAGTGCTGATCCTTCTTCCATATCGGGTTGGAGATTAACAGTGATATAAATTAGGATAGACTATACAAAGCTTTTCGGGAAATTATCTTGTATATCAGTGAAATTGACAGGGTGAAGCAATAACATACATTTTTGTACCCCTCAACGTAAGCTGCAGTCAGGATGCGTTGTTAGGATCACTTACCACCGCGCATCCCAGTAGCAATGTCGCATCTCCAAGACTCATTAGTCGATGGAACCCCTGTATATGGTATGACAAGGATATCTATCATTGAGGCATTTAATAAGTAGAATAGACAGAGAGGAAATTCATTGGGTGTCGCTTTGGACTAGGGCAAACGTGTTATCGACTGACGTGACACTAGGGCAGTTTAGCTCCCGGTGCCCTATCTTGACGCGGTAAGGAGAGCAGCAGATCCCAATCATAGGATTGATACTAGTTTCCCATCGTTAGGACAGGGCAACTGGGGTAGTATTTCGGAGGTAAGCACTTCAGTAGCGATCAGGAGAAGAAGAGAAATTAAGAAACACGGAACAGCTCCGTAAGGGACCGATATGCCAGCTAAACCCTAAGTTCTAACGGCGCACTCCCGAAACCAATCTGTTGCGATAGGTTCCCAGTGATACGAGCTTGGGCCCCAGTCAAGCCACTAAATGAACCCTGTTGTCTTAGGACAGAAAGACCCTCGTCGTCTTTCAAACACACTAGTTCCACTGGAACCAATGGACTCCAGCCCTGGAGCCGCCGACTTTCTTTGGTCGGTGGAGCTGTTCGCCCCTCTGGCAGATCTATTTTATCGCCCATGGTTTAGCCGCATACGTTCATTGTGACTCCAGCTTCCATAAATAAACCATGAGTTCCCCCCAGAACATAATAATATTATTCTCACCCTAAACCATGGCCCCCTCCCGCCCACAAGGCCGGCGGCGAACGACGCTCCTTGCCCTGGGTCTAGCGGCCATCTTCATCTGGCTCTTCTCCCACTATCGGTCACACTCAGACAAACACAGTAGTCATGTCAGCGCAGTCGCCCACGGCGAGTTCTGGCGACAGTTCCAGCCCCTATTGATACAATGGGGACCCGGCTGCGATCCCCCAGAGCGACTCGCCAAGGCAGACTCGGTCGGCTTCGACCCCCAAAACACCGAACAGCCCCCCAACCTCACTGTAATGCCCGACGAAGACGTCCTGAAAATGAAACACGCGCACCGCAAATTCGTGCACGCCATCGCCAAGGAGCCGCCAGCACTAGCCTACCAGCCCGGCACGCGGGGGATAGTCTCGACCGCGGGCGGCTCGTATCTACCCGTGCTGGTCATCTCCCTGCGGATGCTGCGCCAGACAGGGTCGGAGCTACCCATGGAGGTCTTCCTGGCCGACTGGGACGAGTACGACGGCTACATCTGCCAGGTAGTGCTGCCATCGCTGAACGCCAAGTGCGTGCTGCTCTCCGAGATCCTGGACACGGTGCCGGACAGCAAGACCAAGATCGAGAAGTACCAGTACAAGCCGTTCGCCATGCTCTTCTCGTCGTTCGAGGAGATCCTCTTCCTGGACGCGGATGCGTTCCCTCTCCAGAAGCCGGAGCAGGCCTTCACCAGCGAGCCCTTCACGTCCAAGGGTCTGATCACCTGGCCGGATTTCTGGGGCCCCACGGCCTCGCCGCTGTACTACACCATCTCGGGGCAGGAAAGACCGCCACCGAATATCCGGCAGTCGACGGAGTCGGGCGAGGTGTTTATCTCGAAGCGCTCGCATCTCCAGACCCTGCTGCTCGTCGCCTACTACAACTACTGGGGTCCCGGGTACTACTACCCGCTGCTCTCGCAGGGCGCGGCCGGCGAAGGCGACAAGGAGACCTTCCTGGCGGCTGCGACGGTCCTCGACGAACCCTTTTACCAGGTCAGTGAGCCCATCCGCGCGCTGGGCCGACACACGAACGATGGATTCGCCGGCTCGACCATGGTTCAGTATAGCCCGATGGAGGACTACGCCTTGACGAAGAAGGGCGAGTGGCGCATCAAGGGGGCCCGCGTGCCGCCGCCGAAACCGTTCTTCGTGCATATCAACTTCCCCAAGTTCAATCCCGCCACGGTGTTCGCGGAGAACGGGCCCGTGCTGAAGGAGGATGGCAGTTATACGCTGGCGTGGACGGCGCCTGAGGAGGTGATTGAGTCGTTTGGGCCGGATCTGCAGCGGCGGCTGTGGGGGGAGATTCGGTGGACGGCTTGTGCGCTCGAGGGCAAGAGTATTAGCTGGAAGGGGCAGACGGGGATCTGTGAAAAGGTGGATGATTACTGGAATACCATCTTCCGTTAATGTGGGGAGAGAAATTGTACAAAACGAATGATTATTTATACGGGCCGGTTTGGGCATGCTTGTGCTGCGCGCAAGAGAAACAATTGCATTGGCCTCATGATGTGCCCTCTCGTGGGCTAGATGATGATTTTTCTATTCAATATGTACCTATATCCGTGAATATATACAAGAGATTGAAAGGTTTTAAGAAGGTAGGAAAGTAAATGTTTCATTAGTTAACCCTATATTAGATGCTGTATATGCGATACCAGGACAATCCAGCCTTCTAAACAGAACCGAAAACCACAATTAATGCAGATGCAATCATGATCATCACTCGTTATCCATAACGCCATCTCATCTAGTCAATGCTATTCTTCTAGACAATGATGATTCCAAAATTCGAGACTCCTGCCCATAGCCCTCGATTATCCCTCGAGTATATACGTCTTTTCTTTTAGTATTTTCGTGCGTAGCTTTTTCTAATTTGTTGTTTGATTCGTCTGGGAGAATGCTTCCTGAGCATCTGAAATGTGTCCTTCATTCTGCGGTCACCAATTGACCCCTAACCCGTCAGAGCCAGGCCGAGTAGGAGAGCTGCCACTTCGAGCACGCATACCATGCAGCTCTTGTGGCTGGAGCCTGAGCTCATGGTGAACCAAGGGGCCGGACCGGTTCGCATGATAGAGGCTGTAAGGGACAGCGGGCTGCACCGTCTGAGCCCCGTATACGCCATATCCCCCGAGCCTTTGGCGAGCATCACGCACGTCTACTCGATGGGCGCCAAACTGCAAGGTTGGCGGTAGCTCAGGATCCCAAGCAGTAGCTGCGTCAAGACGTTCGTCCAGCGGGGGGATCGGTCTCAAATTTGGTTGAGCTGGGGGAGCACAGGTAATGATATCCGCTTGAAGCGCACTCGGAATTCCGCGTGGATGAGTGTCTCGTATCCAGCTTCCAGCATTGGAAAGGGTTTGCTGCGGAGGCAGGATATGGGACATACCAGGTGGTATTGCAGTTTGCGCATTCGAGGGCATCGGAGAGAGCCGGGGCGGATAACGAACTGGCTCGGTGGCCCAAGACTGGTGGGACTGTGCTGATCCGCCTCGAGACATCGGTTCAGGGGCCGGATCTGATGCATATCCAGTAGGTGCCTCCGCACCCACAGAAGATGGTGGAGATGCGCCGGGCATGATGGCAGACGGATGCGTGATTGGATTAAAGCTAGCAAGCGGCTGGCTGGCACGCACATCTTGAGTCGTCGCGCTCACTCGACGGGAATATGTGACCTCAATATTATTGTCGTACGGAAGAGGAGGCAGGTAGGTCAGAACAGAAGGGGTGCTTGCGGACATGTCCACTGGAGCCATTGCTCTTACCGTAGACAGGTGTCTCGAACGGTACTGAGAATCATACGGTGTCCTCAAGTCCAAGGCATTTAATTGATGGGTGAGGTATCCTTGGTCTGGCTCACTGTATGTTGATCGACTCATCGGATCTAGTTTTAGATCAGGAGGCAATGGTAGCACCAACGCGTTGCCTAATCGGCTATGAAGGGAGCCACCAGAAGATTTGCTTTTCAGTCTTAGGAGTTTGGGGCGTGTCTGTCCACCAGGTGTCGATGAGGACCGCTGTTTCGATGAGGTAGCACCGTCCTGGGTGCGCCTAGCAGCCACTGTAGCATATGTTGGTACGTTTTCCTTCTGGAATAGAAGCCGGTCATTCACTGCTTTCCCGAACTTTTCGTGGGCTGACGGTGGACTTGCGTTATGAACGGCAGTGAGTGCCTCGGATGCAGAAATGATGGAGCTGCGTCGACTTCCTCTCTCCAGGATACTACTCGATGCGCTTCTTCCTTCGACCGGGAATACCCTCAGAATAGGAGCCGCTGGCTTGATACCCCAGGCGGTGCGTGGGAACTTGGGCCTCTGTTTCGAACGCCTCTCTCTGCTTGTTTTGGGCCTGGGAGACTTCTCTACTACCTGCCATTCTTGATCATCTGTAGTATGTGCAGCGCTGGAAGATCGTGAAGACTTTGGTCTCTCTGTTGCCTGACTCAACTGTGACAGTGCTGGGGATGTGCGATGAACAGCTTTTAGCCCTTCACCGTCAGTCTCGTACCCTTTCTCATCATCTCCCTTGGACCATCGGAAGATGTGAGGGAGAAACGGCTTCAAGTTGAAATGGGGCGGGGACACTGGCATCTCTTCCGGTGATTCAACTTTCGGCTCCACCATATCACTGAATTCCCATGTCAAGTTGCGCGACGGCCCTTCATCTGTCGCAGACTCGGGAACAGACGAAGAAGAACTGCTCGACCGATCAAAGACAGATCGCTGTTTGCGAACGATTTCTTGTGAAGAACTTGGCGAAATCCTCTCGATTTCGTTACTGATACTCCTCATGATTTGCCCGAGGTCATCCCGAGCTTCACGAAGGGTCTTTGGCTCCTTGGAGGATTTCTTGGGAAAGTTCCCGAGCAGCCTTGACGCATGCATTTCATATTCCCGATAGTCTTTTACTAAGCCATAATCATCAACGCGGTCCATCCGCTTCTTTGCGTGCTCATAGGACATGCAGAAGACGCGGGTGGCAACCACCAGCCAGGAATCATAAAAGCCAGCATCCGAGTTAGTTGCATTGGCAGAAAGGGACTTCTTTCGTTCCTCGTCCATGATCTTAAGCTCATCTCGACAGAAGCCCTGTACAACGCTATGGATTTTGATCAGGTCGATAGAGCCGGAACTCTGATAGACAGAGAAGAACGCATCTTGGCTGCTTTCTGTTTGCGATTCCGATAAATCGGGGGCAACTGCCGTGATGTCTAAGATCTCACCCTTTTCGGATCTCGGCGATAGCGCTTTTGCCTGGAGCGCATATGCATCCGTGGTTCTTTCTATAAGTCCGTATCGGATAAGAATCCCCAAGGTAGTGTCAATATCCCCTGGCTCACCAGGCCGACTACCGGTTAGAATTTCAACGTGCCACGTCTCCAGTGCAGCTTTTCCCAGGTTAATCAAGCCAACGGGGACATGATGGCCGAAAAATGACAGGATGTTAATCAAATTCAACGCTTCGAAGTGCCCCATTCGATACAGATCATGCATAATGCTGAGAAATGGCTCTGCGAGTTTCTCGTCCGTCAAATGGGAGTTGACGTGATATTTGTCGATCGATTTGGATGTCGCACTGAGACGGTGACTGATTGCATGAATGGCCAGCGGGAGGCATTCGTAGTGGTTTACCAGTTCAGTAGCTTTGCGGATTTGGCTCGGGGTTGGCTTTCTAATACCGAGGTCTTTGAAGAGAAGCTTGCATGCATCTTCAACCTGGAGAGGTTTTATCTGCAAGCAGTATGGCTCATATAAGCGTTGCTTCTTCCGCAATGTCTTGTCCACAGATGTGTAGATAATACTACAGTTTTTGTTGAAGGGAAGGAATTGTCTGAAATGATTGAGGTCGTCGTGGTGATCGAATGAGATCCCATCAAACACTAGGAGCCATTCTTCTCGCACTTGTAGCCAATTTCGAACTGCCTCGACATGCTTCTGGGGCTGTTGCACGTCCTGGGCTTCAGTCAGCATAGCCGCTTGTGCAATATCCCAGAAACATTTGGCGGTTGATTCGCGCGATTTCGCATCGACCCAGAAGATGCCACCGGGGTACTTTTCTCTCTGGCTCCAGACATACTGGCGTGCGAGGTGTGACTTTCCTGAACCAGGCACTCCGCAGATAAGAACAGCCATGAGACGCTCTGCTCTGTTCTTTGCCTTGTACAGCCTAGAATGGAGTATTTCAAGCTCTTTCTGCATTCCGAAAAAGGCTGCGTTTGGGTGGAACCCCGGCGGTACCACAAATAGCTCCCTTTGCGGTGCCGTAAGGGTTACACTTCCAGCCATGTCTGATACAGGAGATTGTCTTCCTGTGTTCGGGGACAGGCTGATCAGAGGAGGAACGATGTTACCTAAGAACCAGATAAGTCAGCATGATCTGACTGCAACTTCGTTGACTTGCCTTATACGATAGCAAATTATGATACAAGAACCCTTCAAACATAAGATCACATCGCTCTGGGGCGCACGGAGATAATGAGAAAAGAAACAAAACAAAAAAATGACTGCATGGCATCAAAACCTTCCAAACGATATCTTTTCCCTGCTCTCTTTCTCTCTTTTTTTTCCTTGTTTCTTTCAGATTCTTTGACCACCGCTGTCGCCCAACTTCGTCACGCATGTAGAGATAATAGCGAATCTTAAATGTGTTTACTAGCATATAAAATCTCCGGATTTTCCTCGACCTCATATGCCTTCACGGTACGAGAAGATGTAGCAGGGGTATTTTCAGGAAGAAATTGTGTCCTACCAATTCTGTGAAGATCCGGCTCACTCCCCTCCATTTGCGACGTACTGTCTGGCCTCTCTGGTTCCTGTTAGCTTTGCGACTACTAGAAAGCTGCGGCTATGCCACCGTCTAAGGTTGGGGATGAAGCTGAATTTGCTTACCATTCCTAAGAAGATCCTTGAGCTTATTTTGTGTTGCGGCTCTCCGGGTCTGTTCCTCCTCGGCCCATCGGTCCAAGATAGTAGCCGGTGCATCGCGGGAGTATCGTAGGAGAGCTTCTGCAACTGCCTCATAACCAGGCGCGTTCTCGTCCTCAAATTTACACATGTGCCGATGATCTGCGTCAATGCCCATGCGCTCTACGCCTTCCGCATACGGCGCGGCCGAGCTCTCATCCACTATCAACTCACGAGTCCCCTTAACATCAGTTGAAAGGGTCTCATGAAAGAAGTAAATATGGTATCTGCTCATCATATCGGCAAATAGACTGTTGATATTCTGCAGCGTTTCATTGTTCGTTCTCAAGGCTTTGACAAGCTGGGAGGATGTTTCCATGTATTTTTTCGGCAGAACCGCACTGCAGATATTCTGCAGTAATAAGCCCCATTTTGCGATGTCTGAGCCGTTGTGAGGCGTCCCGAGGAAGAGGATTCCATAAGTGGAAACGTAGATGGATCGAAGATGCTGGATCTTCGCATCCGAAACGTTTTTGCAGTAGATCAGAGCACGTTTAACCACCAAGCCACCTAGTGAGTGACAGACAAAGATTATAGGGCGATCCGAGCAGCTCCGAAGCTAGATATCAGGGAGGCTGTTAGCAACCAGGTTCGGTGGGCACAGCAGGGCCAACGATGGCAGAACACAGAACACCGATACACTGCAATAATGCGGGTCACTCACATTGCGATTTGCCGCCAGGCCCGAGGCAAGCGTTTCGGCATGATGATGAATGCGATCTCTCGACGCGCCGTCGGTGAAAGATGCAACGTTTGCATTATATCCATATGTCAAGATCCGCACTCGGCTACTCTCCAACACTTCCGGGAGAAGGTCAGCTGGCCAGAAAACGGGCGGATTCCCCTGGGTCGCCCAGGTGTTGTAGGGGTGACCGTTCAATCCATGTACAAGAACAATATCAACCAGAGGCTTCTCCTTGGAGGTGTATACCTGAGTCAAGCCAATTTGCTTGACTCGGGTGGCAACGTCTGTCATCCAAGAGATGATAATCACACCCCCGCGAGGGTGTGTCGACACGCTATGGTGGCGAAATGGTGGTGAGTACTGAGGGAGGAGGGGGCAACGTGAATTGAATAATTAGTATGATATGGACGCAGATCGGCGTACTCAAAGAAAGGACACAGATCTGTCGTAGTAGTAGTAGTAGTAGTAGTAGTAGTAGTAGTAGTAGTAGTAGTAATAGTAGTGGGTGGGTGAATGTAAAAATGTAGGTTTGGGAGAAGTTCACCCAGTATTTATACGAGAGAATGAGAGAGCCTCTTGTGATTGGAGGCGGGGTTTTGCTAGGCCCAAGCAGATGACAGAAAGTTCCTGGTGCCTGCGGGTGTGGCAGAGCCGGTGTTGATCCTTAGTGCCCATGAGTACTAGTAATTTATTGGGAACCTCTGGTCAGAGGAAAGTGTGTTCGCGTGAGCATGGGGCGTTTGCGCTTTCTCCATCGGTATGACCATCCGCACGGGTCATGGGAGGAACAAGCTGAGCAGCGTTTGTCATTTTCTCTTCTCCTCCAGAGCGCTGTGGAGATCCCCCTCATGATTGTTTTTCTCCATACATTTACCCACAGCCAACTCCCTCCGAAGACAAAAGAGGGTGATTACGGATCCGGTGTACGGTGGACTGTGGACTAAGTTCCTTAGCTCCAGATACTACGAGTAAGCAAGTTGTGCCGCCGCAGATCGCGGGGAAGATTACATACATTACACTCCTATCAGCTGCAAAACAAGCCTGCGGGATGTACGGGGAGGGTTAAATTACACGATCCGATGCTCCCTACACCAAAGTACTCTTTGCATTGCCCAATATTCGTTGTACACGTAGCGCTGCTAGATTCTGGCGTGGAACCGTGAAGAAGTCAATCTCCATTCCAGCATATTCAGGGCAGCCACCATATCAGCCTTGCATCTATGAACAGGGGAACTAATCGCCTCTCACTTTTTGCCCGATAGTGGCTGTGGTGTTCGATACTAACTAAACCCTTGATGCAGGTCATTTTCAGGAGCCTCATCCTGCAAGGTTTCTATGACTACTCGTTTTGTTCGCTAAATTCCCTTTGTTTCTTTTCTTTTCTTTTCTTGTTTTTTATTTTTTTTCTTTGTCATATTTTCAACCTGCATTGACTACCTTCCAATTCAGATACCTGTTGGTGGTTTCTACTTTTAGCATAAGCTTTACGAATATCGAACCATATCGAGCGACACATAAGCCCACGTACGTACTACGGAGTATGCGGCAAAAGAAATACATATAAAAAAAAGAACACATATGCATATATGCCTGTCAACAAGGCTGTGCCCCGTTCGTGAGGCGATAATCCACAGGAAATGTAACATGACAGGCAACGCTATGCTATTTCACCCTATGAGAGACCGGATTCAAGCGTCTATAGATCGACTATGGTTGCCTGAGACGCATGCCGTTTGATCTTCCACAGTTGATACACAAACAAAGTTGTGGAGCTGCGGCCCGTTCGGCGTTCCAGGGCAGTGGCTTTATTGGGGTACCCTGCTTTGGTTTCCCTTGAAACGTGCTGAACCAAGATTGGGTCGGTGTATCAGTTACTTGGTCGTGTACCATGGCTCCTTCTGCGGTGATGCTTCCAAGAACCTTGAGTGTTCAGACGGATGTTTTTTATAGTTCCTTAAACGCTTCTTATTGTCCGAAATATCCCCTTAGATGTCTAGCTGGGAAATGTTTGGGGTTCGCTTTCACCCATCCTGCTGCCAAATACTATACAGTGCGGTGCATACAGAACAAGTGACATCATGTCAAACTACTTGACCGGGGACTATGACTCACATTACGGTTCTATTTTTGACAATACAGAAGTTGGGTTGACTCATCTCTACTACTAGTAGTCTAGAGAGCGGATATGAGTCCCTCGAACCAGGTATAGATCTTGTTTCGAATGGCTTGTTTCAGAAGGTCCAAGGTCCTGTATGTACAAGAGGTCATCTTCCATGGATCCCTACCAATAGTAGTATCTATTTGAGTCATAAACACAGATTTATAGGTTCCTTGGAACCTGTTGGGACAATACTTTGGACGCTCTACCAGTATCGCCACCTCCAGATCATGGAATGTTCATTGTCTCTAGGAATCACCGTTTTCAGATCTATGACGAGTACAAACATTTTCCAGGTGCAACATTTAAGCATCACGCGAGCTCAGGGAACAAGCAACATTTCATTCTTTTCTTTTTTACATTGACCACATGGGCACTTGACAAATTCATCGCCCCCGGAAAGCAGGCTTCCTCTTCTCGGCGAACGCCCGCAAAGCCTCGAAGCGATCCTCCGTCTCCACCACACCGTCATAAGCCTTGTTTTCTGCCACCTCGCCCTTCTGGAAGTCATTCACGGCCTGCAGTGCCTGCTTGATAGCGATGGGTCCACCTTCGCAGATGTCCATGGCCAGTTTGATGCTCTCCCGGAGCACTTTCTCGCGCGCCGCGCCCTCCTTTTGCTCCTCTTCAGGTAAGATTTCGACGAGCCGATCGCAGAGCCCCATAAAGTATGACTCGGCGCCCGACACACGTCGCCCAGTGAGAATGAGGTCTCGGGCGCGGTTCACCCCAACAATCCCCGGCAGGCGTACGTGCCTCCCGCCCCAGATGATAGCTAGTCTGGTCTCGGGCAATCCAACAATGCTGGATGAGCCAAAGACACGTAGATGCGTACATAAAGCGAGCTCTAGCCCACCTCCCAGCGCCGTAGAAGACACGGCAGAAATTGTGGGGACGGGTAGCCCAGCCAGATCACGGAACGTACCGCGCAGCTTGGACAAGAATTCATTTGTCCTAAACAATTGTGCAAAAGTATTAGTCACGCGAGGGGAAAATGAGAGGCGAGTGGCTGAGGATGGGAACTCACTCTTCCTTGGTCATATTTACTCGCTCTTTCAAGTCTGCGCCCGCACAAAAGGCCGAATCCACATTACTGGCAATGACCAAGGCCCGTGTCGGACCGGTGCCTCCCTCCGCAGATATCGACTGGACATGCTTATCCAGACTGTCCAAAAGATTCTTGGAAATTGCGTTCCGGGCTTTGGGTCTGTTCAGCAGCAGGACTCGAATATTCCCGGAGCCGGGCGCAGGGATCTGCTGGGTCTGTATCACTGCATCATCCGCCGCGGTGCTGAATCTTGTGACTCTGACACGAACCGACAAGACCGAGGGCTGTCGCAATGTATGTAAAAGAGGCAGGCGTGGCGGCATCTTCGAGTGATAAAGGTGATTCTATCCAGGCAATCAGACGAAATTCGTTGTCCTCTTGTGTCAGATATTCCAACAGGAATGGTTCTGAAAAGCGAGAAGGATGAATTGAGGAAGCTCCGAGGTGTGGGGAAGCTGTTGAAGAGCTGCAGCGATTGCGGGGAAACCATCCACCGAGAAGCCCCAATTCTTACCGCGGATAAGCGCTACCATTCACACCAAGTTCCTGTACGGTCGTAGCTAGTATGAAGGGGTATCATCCTATGATATTGAAACGCCACACGATCTATAATATGTATATATACAGCTAATGTACAAAATGTTGGATGTTCCATCATTGCGCCTCATGCTCCTCCCAATGAACAGCGTAATATTCCTCGACTTCCTCGTCGCTAGGCCAGGGGCCCCAAACGTGCGTTGCCGTGACTATGTCATATGCCTCTTGCAGATTCGGATCGGAGAATGACAATCTCTCGGAATCTTCGGGGGAAACCTCACTTGTATGCTCATATCCCCTTAAGCCACGCGCTTGCGCAGCTGAGGCTGTCCAACGGAGTGATTCCCAAGACTGCCTTTCCTGATATCCCTCGAGAAATAACCGCATTGCCACCAAAGTTCGTCGCATCATCACCGCACCATTCAAGTACTCATCGGACGCCTCCTTAAGGGGCGCCGCATACTGAGACATCCATCGGAGAAGGCTTAAGAGGCCATCGTAATCTTCAGCCAAACCCAATGATCTGACAAATGCGTGAAGAACGGCAGGAGAAGGCACATGAAGTAATGGTGGCAAAATTACTTGGGCATCGGTGGCATTGTCGGATGATGGTCTACCAGACCCAAACAATGATGGAGTTTTAGAGTCTGGAAGAACAAGTCGGTCAAATTGGTCTTTAAGGCCCCGCAGACCATTCTGGACCATATCCTCGAATCGCGGGCAGGCGAGACCTATGTATGCCAGCTTTCCCTGGTTCGCAGCGTTACCAACGACCTCCAGGGCTTCTTCCACAGCATCGAGGCTCTGGATCCCAGCGTTTACCGCCCTTGAAAAACCGCTGCATAAAGTCTGGAAGCCCTGCAGGCCGAGTTGAATATCGTGATACTCCATCCGTCCTGTAATTTCTAGGATTTCGTGCCAAGCTATAACACGCTGGATGTTTCTATTCATATTGGGAAAACGACTCGTGACGCGGTCTTTGTTCAAAGCCGACAACACAAAAACCCATGCTTGAGGGGACCCGGGGTGCCGTACTCTAAGCAGTTCGATGGCGTGTGCTAACGTCTTTGGGTGCCGATATTCCTTTCCATTTCCTAAGTACTCATCCTGGGAGAAAAGGGTCGATGTCTCCCCTTGTGCCATCTGCGAACTGCCCAATATGATCGGAAATGCGTCTCTCGCATGTCTGGCTGACAATTCACCGAAGGTCGAGAACTTGCACAAGAAGTATACAAAGGCTGAGAATAGATGGGCGGGAAGTTCGTTTACAACTTTTCGACTTTGTTCGTCGTAGACAGACTTATGTGCCCAGACGGTGCACAAGGCTCTGATCTGCTCATTAGACAAATCACTGCAGCTCAGGTATTCCAGGCCAGATCTAAAGCTCGGCGCGTGTCGTAGCAAGAGAGAAAGAAATCTTGCCTGCGGCCGGATCCCGTCAGAGAGCATTTGTGTGAGGAGCTCGTCTAACGTGGGTGGCTCCGTATGCACATAAATTAAGTCTCGTGCAGACAAGGGTTCGGGAAAAGTTTCCAAAGCATCACCTGGCAAAGCATGACTCGTTTGATCAAAATTGGAATACAATGCGTTTCGCCGATAGATCAATTTCTCGGCCATTGCAGTGTAGATGCTCCCGCGTGGAGGTAAGCCTTGGTCTCGATACGACAGAAAACAAGCCCAGGCTTCTCGCACAGTCCTTGTAGCCCGGATACGAGCTTCCCAGATTGCGTGGTGGCCCGCATTCCCAACACGTCCACGCAGACGCCATGGCTGGCGCGCTAGGGTCCTTGTTTGAATAGTAGGACTCTTGTCCGTGTCCCATCCGGCAAAGATACTGGATACTTCCTCCCAGCGACTATGAGCATAACCTGCTTCTTTCATCTGAGACATCACTCGCATAGCACGGCTCCTCAATCCTTCGATTCCTCTCTGGGAGTCAAGACCTAGCTTTTCCTCCTTCCATGGCGGCCATGATGGAGCCTTTAGTTCTGCGGATTGTCTCTCGGCTAATGTTTTTTTATGGGCTAGCTGTACCGCGATGATAGCTTGGTACCCTCGACGCGTGACGGGCAGGACTGGCTGATTTCTGGCCATTGCTCTCAGGAGCTCGAACTGTGCCTGCTGCTGTATTGAAGCCGAAGTGAAAGGTCCCTGTCTGCAAGGTAGCGAGAGTAACCGAAGAAATGTATTGCATTTCCCAGCCAGCACCTGGACATTTCGCGGTGTCGCTGATGCCATAGTACCAGCCCCCTCTGGTTCCAGGAGAGTAAGGTAAAATGCGAATGTACGCACAATAGGAAGCTGTGCTTGCGGCCACAGTTGGCGAGCATGATGAAGCAAACGAACGACGAATGTGGCACAGGTATTAGGGTCTATCAAGGGCTTTGCGTTGTCGGATAGGTGAATTTCATCGAAAAGGGCATCGTTTTTTGACGCACACATGGGAGTACCTAGTTCTGGATGTGGTTGACCGCTGATGAGCCGCAGCGAATAAATGAGGAGTAAACGGAAGGCCTTAGTATCAAGCCCTGCCGCAACAAAAGAAGGGGTATGAAGGGCGGGATAGTTCGAGCAGCGGAGCCTTCCTTTTCCTTTGGATTTGATTGTAGCTCTAACGTGAGAATCCGGAGGATGGCCTCGTAAGGGGTGCGGCTCTTAAGAATCCATGCCCATGAAACAACATCTTTGACAGAATACTGGCGCGCTCTTAAATATTTACGGTATTCTTTGTTCAGAAAAACCTTTCGCAGAGCAGCATCCAGTTCTATAGAATTTCCTTTGACCCCCTCTTCACCCGCCCCGTCAAGCAAACGATCCACATGGTAAATGTAGTCTGCAGTAATCTCTTGGAGCGAGACTCTGTGCTCAATTTTGAATTTGATCCTTTGTTTTCTGTCTAAAGGAGGCATAAGGCGATCGTCGGGATTTCTCGAGGTAAACGTCCAGTTTTGACGTGTTACGCTATCAGGGCGATGCACAACATTTTGCAGGGTATCAATTAAATACTCGGTTGGGGTCGGGCTGAAGGAAACAGCCAGCTTTTTTGATTTCCTTCGTGGGTTATGCAATTCATTCCGTGGTTTTTCACGTAGCCGTTTGCCATGCGCATCCCGACTTATCAATGTACTGTTGGTAGATGATAATGGCGTTGATGTAGAGGCCTCCTGTGCGAGATATGTGGGTTTTGATGGGGTCTGTTCGGAGGGGGGTGACTTGGAGCTTTGCCTCTGTTGCTGTTCACGGTCTGGGCCAGGGGGCACATAGGATTGATTTAATTGAGACTGCAGCCGCAATCCACACCAGAATTCACAGGATGTGTGTTGCTCATTATGTCCGACTTGATATATTTCGTCACGCGTGGTTTCATATCGAGAAGAAATCAAGGTCCCGGCTGAGCTTAGAGACCGTGACAGCGTTCGAGGACCAAATAACACATTAGCAGGCGAACTAGAAAGCGCCGTCAGATACCCCGGGCATGAAAGGCTATTATAATACAGCTCCTTAAAGTTGAAGAGAAGAAACATGTTAATACAGCACTGAAAAATATCTTGTCCGGGGTTGTTTAAGCGGTACCTTCGGCCATACACGGCTACTGAGCAAGTGCGCCGCTCTCAGAGAGGAAACCCTCGAGCGGCTCGAAACATGATTGAAGACCGATGACATCCATAGAGATGATCATGGAGCAACTTCGACGAACTCTGATCCCCGGTGACGAAAGACGAGGGTACGTTTTCGCTCCAGTGCAACTTAGCAGGTCAATCTGGAGAAGCAGCCAGTCGGCCTGGTCCATGGGGAAAAAAGTATACGTCACGTGACGGATCGTCACGAGTTGCGCTTTTGGCATGGCGCGCATGAGGAACATCTCCCTCTTTGCCTGTCTTCCCGCCTTGCTATTGTTACGGGTTCCGACATTATTTCTCCTGGTTTTTATTTTTTTTAACCCTCCTCAACTGGATTGATCCTGGGCGTGGTGAGAAACACGCTCATTGCAATTCATCCCTGTGGAGTTCGATATACGTGATTTTATCTTGAAGGGTGCGCACCCTCCTCTGCTGGGTCTCGTAACTATTGGCGCATCCGCTTCGGAGATCAACGAACACTCGACCATCGGCCTCTGTGTTTAAGGGCATAATAGTGGTTTTCTCTGGCTTACCACGTCAATTTATATTCACAAAGTTGGAACCAAGTCCGCGCCCTTGTAGTTCCTGGTGCGATACGCTGGACATTACGAACGACCCTTTATTCTCGCGTCAAAGGATTACTACCATAACGGCGCGACTCCGGAACCATGAGCGCAGACGAAAGTGGAGGCACAGCTTCCATCCCAGCTACAAATGGCGATCTCCATGCTACCACTCCCGATCCGCCCTCATTGGCAACACCTGCCAAGCGAAAGCGTGTATCAAGTCATGATGACAAAGTCACTCAAGACACTGGCTCGTCTGCGTCGCAAGTCCAGGAAAAGATCAAGCTACAGGAAACTCTGCGTAATCTTGTTGAAATATTGAGCAAGTAGGTTCCACTTACTTCTCTCTCCATATATCTGTTCACGTTCGCACCCATTTGCTAACCTTCAAAAGAAACGATACGGATCTTCAACTCCTATCCTGTCCATTGCCGTCATCCCCAGCGAAGCCCCGTTCGAAGCGCGCGAAAGTCTCGGGCGAAAAAGACGAAGCCTCCACTATACAATCCCGAGTCGCTTCGAATCGTTATAATACTCTGTCGGAATTCTTGGGTGATATCGAGAAAGCATCGGCTGCCGTGATTGAGAGGAATAAAGCCCTGGCGAGCGGGCTCCAGGCTGATGGGTCGCCTGTGACAGAAACAGTCAATCGGATCGCGGCGTTTAAGAAACTCTTGAACAGTCTCGTTCGTCAAGCACACACGAGCCAGTCGAACGTCAAGGCAGAGACATCCGAGGAGGATGCAGAGACACCGGCGAAATTCAATACCCCCAATGTGGAGACCCGGAACGAGAATCTCGTCTTGACGCTGTTTGGGAACCCAGCCAATCCGAAGCAGCTATATTCGAGTTTACAGAAATCCGTCAAGGTTCCACTTCCTTCAGATGACCCGAAAGCAGAGAAATATGTGGAGGTGCAAGCGCCCCTACGCGAAGTCGGCTTGCCCAACGGTATCACGACCACGAAGATCGAACCATACAATCTTGATGAAAAGCCAGCGGAGCCCAAAAGGACTTTCGGGGAAGTTTTTGCACCTCGGTCAACCTTGCCTCAATTGGAAACCCCACGCAAAGCAAAGTCCTCTCGGAGTGCTCTGAATGGCTGGGTTGACCCATTCGAGGCTATCACCGACTTCAAAGCTTTCCGAGGTGATCGGAATAATTACTGCCTTGCCCTTCTGCCCTCTGGGCAGTGGCTCCAGTACGGCGGGGTCACATCATCCCCGTCTTATTGGAACCGCCGCGATAAACATCAGCCGCCTCAGCAGCACAGTGACGAGAAGTATACGGATGATCCTTCTCTGGGGGTTGATGAAGACTCGGCTGTCTTGCAAGGTGTCTACTCATCATTCGCGCCTTCATTCGACAGTTCGGGTGCCGTTGTCCAGGCTGACTCGAAGAATTTGGTATGGTGGAGCAAACGAGGTACCAAACGTTTGGAGACTTTGCTTTCAATACCATATCAAGAAGTCGAGGAAGAGACGACGTCAGAACGGCCAGGCAATATTGGTGAACTTGATGAGAGTACCTTGGAGGAGATGGTAAAGAACTTCAAGCCCGAAGACTTCGCCGATAGTGTTACTTGTTCCGATGCCTCTAAAGCAGATAAGGAGGAAGAGGCAGAGTCGCAGGATATAGATGAGCTATTACATGATGTCTCTGATCTACTGGAAACTTTGAGTTCGTACCAAAGGATCCGCAACTTGGACGTCTCAGCCCCAAATGCTCAGGGTGCTGAGCCTAAAGAAACAGGGTCCGACTCAAAGAGCGCAGATACCCCTTCTACAGAAGAGCTGGGTGTATATGAAACACTCAAGTCAAGTCTGGCGGCTCTCATCTCGAATCTACCTCCGTATGCAGTTGCAAAATTAAACGGCGATCAGCTGGACGAGCTGAATATAAGCCAGAAAATCGTCATCGAGAACCCGGACTATCGGGGAACTATGGAGAAGGACGACTTTACAGCGCATCAGGAGCGAAGTGCGGCCATGGCCCCAATGAGTGGTGCTGCGAATCGAACTTCAACGCCATCGCGGTACAATTCGCGGCCCTATAGTTCTGGCTCTCGGGTCCAATCGCAAGGCGGCTTCCCTCAACAGCCATACTATGGTGCAAGGCAGCCCTCAACTTCTGGACCATACACTCCAGGCCATCCGCAACAATACGCCGGACCTCGGCCCCCAACAACACCGTCACAACGACCCGGATATCTTCCGGGATACTCTCAGCCCACCCCTCAGTTCAATCAGCAATTCCAGCGACCAGGGCAAAATGGGTATGCTTCCTACTCGGCCCAGCAAGGGCCGGCCGCCCAAGCTTCGCCACAGCCCTACACGCCGCGCCCCGCACAACCAGGGGCATACAACGCTTCTTTCGCAACGGGGCGTAGTGCTTCTCCTCAGAAACAAGCATCATATGCGGCTCCACGAACTCCATACATGACGCCGGGCTCTAATAACCCTCAGCAACGGTTCATACCGCAGCAGCCGCAACAGCCGCAACCACAACCACAACCACAACAACAGCAGCAGCAGCAGCAGCAACAACAACAACAACCACAACAACCTCCCCCATACGGCAACTATTCTTCCAACCAATCTCCTGCACAATCGGCGGCATATTCCAACTCAGCAGCTGCCATGACTTACGCGCGAAGTGCCGCTGAACAAGCCGCACTGATGGAGAGGAATAGAACACAACTTGCCGCTCATGCACGACAGAGCTCAACACCACAACCCACAACCGAAGGCAGCTCTCAGGATCGAAGCGTAACCCCCGGTAACAAACAGAACGGCAATGCGGTCCCCTCATGAGTCGAGCAAATATCATCTGGCCGTTTCGGAGTTGTGTTTCCATGCTTACGTTCACCCTTGTCTTTAGAAAAAGGAAGGCTCGGTTAATGGTGTTACACTGTTATGATTTGTATTTGACCTTTTGTGACTTGCCTTTTGCCTCTGTCCGTTCCCTAATCCATTATATTCTCTTGATTTCTCAAAGCTACGGGTCATTAGATTTGAGAATGAGACAGGAAGAGAGGTTTTTTGGCTCCTCTTCTCAATTTACCTTTATAACAATCTTACTACGACTATTAGCTGGTGTGTGTGTGTGTGTACGTACGCGTGTCGTTTCCCTGCTGCTATGAATTCCCTTTGAAGAACCCTGTTGCCATCTCCCGACGAGATGAAGATCAGCGAATGGCGCGGATTGTTTCCCAAGATTGCTCTGGTTTCTCGCGGGCGGAGTGTCTCTATTACTTTTGTGGCTACACGCTTTTCACCTAGAAATGCTATGTATTAGTTTATCTGCAACTTCTACTCCAAGTATTACTTATTCAGGATTATAACGAGATATTGAAAGAAGCGGAGAGCCCTTATAAACCCTAGGCTTTCTGCCATCGGAACCAGTATCCTAAACGCCACCCTTTGGCCAGTCCCCCTGCCACACAGATAATAGTACTTGGCCAACATGAGTAATAGAAGGCATAAATTCATCACTGCTAAGGAAATTCGTAAATCATTATGTTACCAGTCCCCATGCTTTCGTGATCGGCTAATCAAGGAATAAACATAGCGGCTATCGTCATGAATCCGAAATATCTGCAGATAGACAAAGTTAGTATTCTAGTTAAGAATAGGAAAACTCTCATAGGAACATACAATGTAGCAATTCTCCACCCATCGTGAGAAGCAACGAATCTCTCGGCACCAGCTGCAGAATTGGACGCAATCGCAGATGCCGCGCCGCCCACCATCGCGACGACAAGAAGACGTCCTGAGAATTCAGCGATCATGCTAAAGGCTAGTAGGGGAAGGAGGATAGCTGCTGAAGCAATGATGATCGCCGAGAAGGCAGAGGGAGCGTTGGATGTCGATCGTGTAGTAAGAGAGATGAGGTCTTTGTTGTGTTCTAGGAAACGGGTCTCGGCCACTGCGACGGGAGCATTTTCCTTCATCCAGGCGCGATACGTGTCGATGTCTTTATCGGACGCGCTGGGGAGGGCCTGAGTGACTTTGCTATATGCACTGAGGGCGTTATCTTGTTTGGTTAGATTTGGAGCGATGTCTAAGTTTCGTGTCAAGATACTCACTGTATTGCTGGGTCTTTTGTACTAAGGCTGCCATCACCTCCTCCCGTCGGTAATGCAGGGATGAATATACCTGCGCTTGGGCATCCATGCGTCTTGAAGCGGGCACGATGTTTGTGCCTTCTTGTTCCGCAGTTGCTACGCGATGCATTTCTTCGTATTCATCTAATACGTGCAGTTCCTCTTCCATCTGTGCGATTTCGTCCTGGAGATAGAGGAGTACGCGGTGGTTTATATCTTCAAATCGTCGGTAAAGCGGGGGAAGCGATGGCTCCTCCTTTTCGACAGATGAGCTCAACTGCCAGCTGAGGCGTCCATAACCGGAAGGAATGGATGAGGATTTCTTCTTTCGCCTTGACTTCCTATTGATATGGTGAAGATCCTCCTCAGGGCTTTGTGGCGGGGACGGGGGGAATGGAGGATGGAACGCTGTGGGATCGTGAGAGGGCTCGTAGGATTCTGGCATTGGGCTCAGACGCAATTTCCGCTTGTCGGAGCCGTTCGACTCCTCTGTCAGATAACCCTCCATGGACATTTTGCGCCGAGCCGAGCCGTTTCTAGTAGATAGTTCAAGCATACCAGGGATTTGGTAGGAATCCATTGAGCCCTTTGATCGTATAGATGATGTCCGGCTCGGAGCGCCCATACCCTGCGCTGTCATATTCGCCTGGCGTGCAAGTCTAACATGTGGATTCCTGAACGAACCGCTGAGGTTGTGGTTTAGGACGTCATCATCCTCGACGTAGGAATCGTCGGAGTCAGTGTTGGAACCTGATTCAAGGTACTCGAATACATTAGGCATGTTCTTCTCCGGTTCCGCTGCCTTGAAAGTAGGGTTTCTCGTCGCCTGTGTATCCTGCGCCTTTTTGGAACTTGGGACGTTGTTCTTTGACCCGGCGGACTGCTCGGAGGTGCTCTTTTTCTTGGCGGCGTCTCCGGAGGATCGCGAGGTTTTTGAAGTAGAGTGGGACTTCCCGGAGGCAACTGAAGCTGTAGAAGCCTTATTGCCGCCGTCTTTAGAGGCTTTCTTGGAGCGCCTCGATCCTGAATAGAGCAACATTGTCACTCAGAACGGAAGTAGCAGAAGACTTGCTCGGACTGGATGTGAAGGCGGTATTTTTCATTTGAAGACCATATCCCGGAAGCATTGAAATCGTGAAGTCATGGAAACAGACACAGTACCCAAATGTTGCTCGGAGGGGCTAACAGGAAAGACATAACAAGGGAGAGGGTAGGACGCTCGCGCGGGTGGGAAATTTTCGGCTATCAGTTTTGGAGGAATGTTGAGTAGAATGTAGGCTTGAATTCTTCTCTGTTTCACGGGCGTCAAGAGCAGAGCGGGTGTGTGGGTGGGCGTCAAATCGGAGCTGATAGAGTCTATCGATGAGCCGATGTATACATACCGACAAGCGAAGCCCTTGCGCGTAGATCGGGAAGGACTGTTGACGGGCGGTCTGTCCGCAACTGTTCAATAAATAGATCAAGCTCGAATTAAATTCCGCCCCAAACGATGGAGGCAATAGTGCGACAGATCGAAAGTCTCATGTTGGAACTAAACCGAATGCAAAAGCGTCGTTCAACTTCGCCCGTCAGCCAACATCTCACATGGTCATTCTCCCTCTATCTTTCGGTGGGGTTTGTGGACGATCTTTGGCTGAAGATCATCGGAGGAGTCCAAACTCAATCCGGTAAGGGAGAGAACTTTTGCTCTTTCTCTCTCTCTTTTGAGGATTTCTTTTGGGAGGGATCTCGTTCGAGTGGAAGGAAGAGAGCGGGATGAATGTGGTGGGATGGGGTTTTCTTGAGAGAAGATAGAATATATCATATCATATCGTCTCTCATCGTCATACTCGTCGTGTCAAGAACCGATGTGTTGGCTGCACTGCATTGGCTTACCTCATTCTTATGATACTGTGTTAGTTAATTAGCTAGTTATGTAGAGCCCATAGCTAAACATCGTCCCTAGCAAAAAATTGTGCATAATCTGGTAAAATAAAATAAAAAATGAAAATAAAAAATAAAAAAGCAGCGATGGTAATAATCGCATTGTACTCTGTAAAGCAGTTGGGGGATGGAAAAGCAATAACACATGACCAACTCCGTCATTCCGCCTTTTCCCCAAGATAGTCACAAGATATACCTACTAAATCTTGGTTTTTTTTTATCTCCTTCAATCAATTGCCCCGTTCCGAGTCAATATATTCCACACTCACTTCTCCCCCGCCGAAAGAAGATCACTATTTCCACATTCAGCTATCCATAAAACCCCTCCGTCCCTCCCATATGCTCCGCCCCTGGCTGCGCCAATCGACTCGAGCAGCCCGCTCTCTTCCTTGTTCTCAATGTCCCCGACCCTATAGCTCTCGACTGCCCACCCTGACGAACCCGTCTCGTTCGGTTCGGTGCTTACAGACCTCAGCCCCAGAGTCGCAAGACCGGGTACCACTCCGGAAACAGCTCAAACAAAATGCGAAGGCGTTAAAAGCGAGAAGCGTCAGAGAAGGGAGAGCGAGGAGGCTTCGCGACAAAAATGGGAGCTCACTGTCGGGATTGAGATTCATGCGCAGTTGAATACCGAGAATAAACTATTTTCACGTGCGAGGACTACCTTTCTCTCGGTCAAGCATGTATCTGACTTCTGCTTGACCAGGTGCTCCGACATCATCCACCGACCTACCCAACTCAAATGTTGCTCTGTTCGACTTGGCTTTCCCAGGTAGCCAGCCGGTTAGTTGTCCAGATCAGGTTTCCGATATTCAGTGGAGGCTGAACTACTTTAGGAATTCCAAGTTCCAACGCTGCTACCTGCCCTCCGCGCCGCACTCGCCCTGAACTGTGATATCCAGCCCGTGAGCAGATTCGACCGGAAACACTACTTCTATCAGGACCAGCCCGCCGGCTACCAGATTACACAATACTATGGTGAATATAAAATGGCTCCAGTGTCGTGACCGTGGGTTAACCCTCGCAGAACCTTTTGCGAAAAACGGCTATGTGGATTTGTTCGGCTACGATGGGATCGCGCCAGAGGATGGCGATCACGTTCGCATCGGTATCAAGCAAGTGCAGCTCGAACAGGACACAGCCAAATCACAGGAGTACCCTCCCTCCACGCAGCTTCTTGATTTCAACCGCGTATCCCACCCCCTGGTCGAAATCATTACGATGCCCCAAATCCACACGCCCGCCACAGCGGCCGCGTGCGTCCGGAAGATTCAGGCCATCCTTCAATCGTGCAGCGCAGTCACCACTGGTATGGAGTTGGGCGGTCTCCGAGCCGATGTGAATGTCTCGATCCGTCAGCGGGGTGAGGCCGAGGGTCCGCATCAGTATGGCGGCATCGGCGGCCTCGGTCAGCGCACGGAGATCAAGAACCTGAGCAGTTTCAAGGCTGTCGAGGATGCCATCATTGCGGAAAAGAACCGCCAGATTGCGGTGCTAGAGAGTGGTGGTGTTGTGGAGGGTGAGACCCGTGGCTGGACAATTGGGAGCACGGAAACACGGAAACTTCGAGGCAAGGAAGGCGAAGTCGACTACCGGTATATGCCAGATCCGGATCTCCCACCGCTCCTCATCGGGGCTGATCTCGTGTCGGAGCTGGCCAGCACATTACCGACTTCCTCGGACGAACTGATTGGGCTGTTGACGGGGAAAGAGTACGGTCTCTCGATTGAAGACGCTAAGCCGCTGGTTGAGCTCGAGGATGGCGCTCGCTTAGAATACTACCAGGACGTGGTGGATATCCTGCACGATCAGCAGCAGGATCAGGATCCTACGAGCCGTGGGGGCTTGTCACGCGTGGCCGGGAATTGGGTTCTCCACGAGCTTGGGGGCCTGTTGACCAAAGCAGGCCTTCCTTGGGATGCAGACCGAGTCTCTGCGCTATCGCTGGCTCAGATTATCGATCACGTCCAGCGCAAGCGGATCACCGGTCCTACCGCCAAGCAGGTGCTCGCCATGGTCTTCGACGGAGACACTCGGGCGATTCCTCAGTTACTGGAGGAGGAGAACCTGCTTCTCCGGCCTCTCTCACGAGAGGAATACGTTGCGTTGGCGGAAGCAGCAATCAGTCAGAACCCGCAAATGGTCGAGCAGATCCGGACGAAGAACCAGCTCGGGAAGCTGGGCTGGTTTGTTGGACAGATGATGCGCATGGGCGAAAAGGGCCGAGTGGAAGCGCCCAGGGCGGATGCGATCCTCCGGGAACTGATTCTGGGGCCGTCGCGCGCTTGAGGGTGTTGGATTCGTACGAGTGTATAGATAACGTCATAGCCATAGCCATAACCATAATGATACCCTTCCATTTCCTGTAAAATCCCGTATCTTTGGATTACCTCCCGGCTATCGCAATAAATTGCTAATGAAAACTTGGGGTGGAGTGGGATGGCGACGCCGTCGCGGCGTCTCTCCTGGACCTGTACTTAGGGGAAGCCTCGATCCCTAAAAGCAGGTCTTAGCGATCCGCCCAAGAATGCCGCCGATTACGCCCCACGATGTCTCCCCTACTTAAACAACCTCAATTCCCCTGTTCTTTGGGTCCGGATTCTGTTCTTGTGTCTTATTCAGACTTCTCTCCCTCATCGCATCTCATCTCCCTTTGTCCCGTTCCTCGACTCATTCATTGTTGGTGGTGTCAACCCTTCGGAAACGATTCCCCACTTGCAAGATCTTATCTTTTTAGTCCGCTTCTAGAATCTTTTTTTTCTCCCCTCTATCAGATCAAGACTCTCTCCCTCTCACTTTCACATCCACCCCTCCAATTCTTACCCTTCACCATGACTCAACCCTCCACCATCACACAACGCTTCCTGTCCAAGCCCGGAAACCTGGGTGTGGTAGCAGTCGGCTTCAATGGCGGCCAGGTATGATCCTCCCACGCGCGGGTGTCGATCATGTTGATCACTTAGATCGCAACACCACAGCTAACCGGGTTTTGATCCTGACACAGTGCAAACTTGGCGTTGAGGCTGCCCCCATGGCTCTGGTCGAGGCTGGTCTCCTCGATCAACTCCGCGACGACCTTGGCTACACCCTCGACTATGACGACACCGTCCACTACTACGAAAACCAGATCCCCGCCGAGGACCCCGATCACCGTGGCATGAAGAAGCCCCGTGCGGTGAGCGCCGTGACCGAAGCGCTGAGCACACAGGTCTACGAGAAGGCCAAGCAGGGTCAAATGGTCTTGACCCTGGGAGGCGATCACTCGATCGCTATCGGATCCATCTCCGGCTCGGCCAAGGCTACCCGCGAACGCCTGGGTCGGGAGCTGGCCGTCATCTGGGTTGATGCGCATGCCGATATCAACATCCCGGAGATGAGCCCGAGTGGAAACATCCACGGTATGCCCATGGCATTCTTGACTCGCTTGGCCCGCGAGGAGAAGAAGGACATCTTCGGCTGGTTGCAGGATGAGCACATCGTCAGCACCCGTAAGCTGGTCTACATTGGTCTGCGGGATGTTGATCGCGGCGAGAAGCAAATCCTTCGGGAGCACGGCATCAAGGCGTTCAGCATGCACGACATTGATCGGTGAGTCTCCTTTTTTTTTTTTCTCCCTTCGGAGTTGAGCACAAAGAAGCCAAAGCTAACCCCCCAACAGGTACGGTATCGGCCGTGTGGTGGAGATGGCTCTGGCCCACATCGGAAACGACACCCCTATTCACCTTTCATTCGACGTCGATGCTCTGGATCCGCAGTGGGCTCCCAGCACCGGCACTCCCGTGCGTGGCGGTCTGACTCTCCGTGAAGGTGATTTCATCTGCGAGTGCGTGCACGAGACCGGTAACCTGGTCGCCATGGACTTGGTGGAGGTCAACCCCAGCCTGGAGTCGGTAGGCGCCTCCGAAACCATTCGGACCGGTTGCTCGCTGGTGCGCAGTGCACTGGGTGACACCCTCCTGTGAGCCGATGTAGACTTAATAGACTGGTAGATGGCGACGGGATGGGAATTTTCTTTATTCTTTTTCTTTTCCTTTTTTTTTATTTTTCAGATATCACATTATGTTTAGACATGACCAAACAGCATTAAGATATGTACAATGACATTGAAACGATTTCAAGACTGGCGTTGGTGCATCTGATGGTAAAAACGAAGGTAGCTGCAGTTAGGGTAAGTATAGGACGGTTGACAGATATCAAATCCCCTGCCACCGCAATTTCCACCTGCCACCTCATTTTACATCAAAATGCTCCACCTTCCCTTCCCTCTGATGATAGATCTCTCTTCTTTCCATTCCCCCGTCCTCGATTGTCTAAATAAAGAATTCCAGCGACATCCAGAACGATGAATCGCTCACCGCTTACATAACAGTTGGTGCTTGACTCCCCGCGCCAGTCCAATCGCAAAGAACCCCGAAAACAACAGCCCAACGCCAGTACGGCGCCGATGCGCTGTCTTTTCTGCGCTTCATTCTTGCATCTGCACGTTCGCCACCAATTGAGTCGTCTTGTCTCGTGCCCGACGGGCCTTGTTGTTGCGGTGGGAAAGGAGTGACCGCACTTTCATTCCTCCCCGCAAGCGTACCTGATCAGCCTATACAAATCCACCCGGCGGGGGGATCGAATATAAGTATACACACATGCAGACAGGCCGGGTGTGAGAAATTATATCCCCGACGGGCAGCGATCATTCATTTTCACAGACATATACAAACAAACATACATACTACATACATTCTTCCCACATATTCGTACAGCCAAGGAAAGCCAAAATGGCCGTCGTCTACCGTCGCAGACGCTATCACTGGCCCGAACTGCAACTCAACGTCTGGATCCTCATCGTGCTATCATCCTCGGCCATCTGCATGGGCATCTTTGCCTGGCTCATGTCGGTACAGTCCGAGATGCGTCTGGGTACACCATGGTACATATCCCTCTTGCTCCACACCATGATCTTCTCTTCCCTTTCTTTTTTTTCCCTGTTTCAATAATCGCACACTAGATAAATGAAGATATAAATAATCACATAACTAACACTACAAACAAGGCTATTCCCGTTCATGGTCGTCTCCGGCGCCCTCGGCATCTTCTTCATCGTGCTCATTCTCATCCTCGCCGCCCAGCGCTTCCTGCTCCCCGGCATTATCCTCCTGGGCAGCTTCATCCTCTTCGTCCTCTGGTTGACCGGCTTGATCGAGACCTCGTTGCAGTTGTACGGCGTGGTCGCGAACGTCAATGATAATTGCCAGATCTATATCGTGGATAATCGCGCCGGGGGGAATAATATGCAGACCTTGGCGTGGTTGACGCAGAAGACGATTTGTAAGTTTCTTTCCTTTCCTTTCCCTTCCTTTTCTTTTTTTTTTATTGAGAAAACTGGAGTCGGGAGTTCTGATTTGGGATTGTGCACTGATGCGGTCGGTAGGTGATTGCTGGAAGACGGCATTTGCGTTCGAGCTGGTCAATACCATCTTCTTTTTGTGGATGATGATCATGTCGTGGCAGGTTAATCGGGATGTATATGATTGATTGATTTTTTTCCTTGGTCTTTTTTTTATTTTTTCTTTCTGTTGTGTTTATATGACCGGATATGATGTTGATGATGATTATGCGATGACTTTTGATCGACTTTGTATGAAGATATGGGCGTTGTATGGTATGATATCCAAAATTTGAGATTTCTTTTTTTTTGTTTTGTCTTGAATACTATAGAAACATCACTATGAACAAACTTATCAGACAGTCAATCAGATGCGAGTCAGATACCCAACGCCATCGCTATGCCATCATTGCATCGCACCAATTGCAACGGAATGAGAAAGCATAATAAATCTTAGCCAATCTGGGATACCAAGTGGTATCAACAACAGCAATATGGTGCTGACCATGTAATTTGCCCCGGAGAAGCCGCTACAGGATCGTCACATACACCTCAACGCCCCAATATGAACAGGAGAAGGAGAAGTCGAGCAGTACCAATACACAAGGAAACAGATCAACCGTTTTCTGCCGCAATGTCTTCTTCCGCTTTGGCGTCGTAGTCGCCATCCTCGAAAGCAGCCATCATCTCCCGCTCGAGTTCGTCGTCGTCCTCTGCGGGGTCTTCAGGCAAGTTGGCATTGAGGTCTTGAGATGCAGGCTCGTCCGAACCTTGTTGCGCGCTTTCCTCGTTGGATTCTGGAGCCACGGGCGGTTGATGAGCGGGATCGTCGGTGGCCGCAGTCGCAACTTCTTTCAGTCCCGTGCTCCGCTCGTAGGAGCGCTTGATACGCTGTGAGAGGCGTGAGCCTGGCTGATCGCCTTCCTCTTGACTCTCTTCTTCATCCCCGCCTTCTGAGCCTTCATCACGCTTCCGTTTCTTGTTGGATGTCGATTCCTCTGCCCAGGACGATACTTCGCTGTCGCTTTCGCTTTCATCGTCACTGCCAAGGAACTCTTTCAGTTCCTCGTGGACAGCGGCTTGCTGGTCTTCATCGTAACCAATCGGGGAATGCTCGTCGAGGCCGGTGGACTTGAGAATGTTTTCTGTGGATTCTGACGCGTCCTCTTCCTCGGTCCAAAAATCTCCCGTGTCTTCCGATGATGAAAGCCATCCGCTTTCCATCTCCTTGGAGCCAGGCGAGATTGGCTCTCCTCGATCGTCAGGGTGGACGGGAAGTAAGTAAGGCTCCTCGTCCAGCCATTTCCATTGCGTCAGGCAGTCCAAGAGCCACTGGGTTGTGACGATCTTGACGTTGGTGTACCGCGTCGCCTCCCGAACCTTAGCCGTGCGATTACGGCCGGCCACCAGATGGGTGGTCTTCACATTGATCTTCTGAGAGATAACAGCCCCAAAACTCTTCGCCCATAGAGAGATGTCAGCGTTCTGGGTATCTGTTCCGAGCGGAAGCACTCCGGAAAATACCAGAATCACCCCGCCGAGGATCTGGCGCTTGATCTGTGGCATGATATCCTTGATATCAGGCACCAGTTTTAGATCAACATCCTTCTCTTTCGAAGGCGTCTTCTCGCCTCTCAGAGCTGCCACTCTTCCACCCAACCCCCTCGTTCGCCTCAGATCATACTCTTCAAAGAACTGCTTATGTACCTGCTCAAGCCGCTCTTCCAGCTGGAAGAGTTCCCTGTCATTATCCTCCAGCAAATGGTGGCGATGTTTGCTTGAGTCTTGCGACTCATCCATGCTAGAAGAGGAATCAATACTCTCTGCAGAATCTTCTTCAGCGTCTAGTTCCTTCTGTTTCTGCAGCAGAGGGCGGTCTTCCACCTGGTGCATTATTGTCTCTTCCTGCGCGTCTGTCTGTTCTTGCAGTAGTCTCGGGTTGTCTCCGCCACCCATGGTCACAAGTTGTTCTAACGCCGACACTTCTCCCTCTGGTTTCGCTGTTGTACCGTTCACATGATGTTCAAGCGGAGATTTTGTGGGTCTCGTTCCTGTCTTCTCCCCGGCCTTGCCGACTGTCCCCAGCTCCTGTTTCTTTGGCAAAAAACTCGAGTTGATATCCCCGATGCCAACGAAGAAGTCGTACGGAGAAACCTTGATAAGGTTAGGGCTCCAGCGCCAAACGTCACCGCGGTCGTCGATGATAACAACCATCTTTGTGTCCACTGGGAACAAACGGTGGAGGTTCTTAGCCGTCAGGCTTCCACTCTCATCACGACTGAGGATGCGATCGCCGAACAGCTTTCGGTCTGGATCTATGATACTTGCAATGTGTTGCGCGTATGCTCGTGTACCCATGGTGTAGATATGCAATTCAAAGAGCTCTGAGACGTTTTGCAAGAATGACTCTAAACCTGGTCGTAACTTGACATAGTACCAGCAACCACGCATGCCCGGTCCATCGTCTACCAACTGGAATGCACGGACATCGCTTAGTGCTTGGTGGTTTGGGTTATCCTTGTCTTCCATCCACTCCCCCACGGTTGGATCGACAGTGGCATGGATGATAGTCTGGTCAAGATCCACCACCAGAGAGAGTTTTCTATTTGACAGCAGCCGGCGTTTCGCATCTTCCTCCACCCGTGCAGCCTCCTTCTCGCTCACGGTTAGCGCGGTGTTATCATGGACCATCTGAATCGTCGCGCGCATCGAATCTGTCACTTCCGTATTGTATGTAGACCTGTAGGAGGTTGCAAGGTTAGTGTTCGTGCGGTAGAAAACTATAGTATCGTATAGGGTATTTCTCCTACTTACTCGGTCATGTCCTTGCCGCACTCCGCACAGAGGCCCCCAAACTGGACTTCGTGAGCACATGGCTCATCAATCTCGATGACCTCGACACTGTCCATATGTTAACAATCGCAACCATGTATTGTGTAATAAGGCAATAGGACTTACGGTTCATCGATGATGTCGCCCTTTGCAATCTTCCATTGGACCACCTCGCCATCAACAGTCGACTCATACTTGGTCGGGAACTTGCGTTTGACCTCAATCTTATTGCCCAGCCCATCACCCTCGGTGACAGTCGTCTGGTAGACATACCAGAACAGCGCCTCGTCCCTCTCCACCGAGTCGCCGGGCTGTTTCAGCAGCGACGTTACGGTGATCGGGTAGTGGAGGCTGGGCGGTAACCGAAGAAGCATACTCCTGTACGACTTGGCTCGTTTCTCTCTCTTTTAATGATTTAATGTTTGATGACCCTACCTCTATTGACAATAGCAATTGACAAAGGGGCAATATGCATGAATTGCGAGTAGAGACCCGGTTCCAGCAGCTATGGCGCCATGCCCGACGCGCCTGGCGGCGGATTGGAAAACCGACGAGGGTAGGCTTGAACCGATCCTAGCTCAGACTTGATGGTATGTAAAGCCGGCGACTAACAGCTAAAGCGACACGAAAATGTTCAACTTGGTTCGCGGGGCGGGGTGTGGCTTCCAATAGCTTAGGTCGATCGCCGCAAGAGTGACGCGACGGGGAACAAGGACAGGAAAAATTTACAAAGGCTAAAGAGAAGATCGGCAGATGCGCCGCAAAATGGCGGAGTAAGAAAAGTCTAGGTCAGTAAGGGGTTGGGATTGAGCGAGGATGAAGCAGTTGTTGGGTGGTGTGAGAGGTGAACTTCCGAACGGTGTGATGATGAAAGAGAGGAAAAGCAGTTTGAACCGTTTGCCGGGAAAGCACAAGGAAACAAGGTTTGGCTGCCAAGACCCGCTCTCTTGTTATGGATTTCGGGAGCCCGTGCGGGGGCGAGACCCTCTTCTTATACCACTCGTCTTAAGTTCGTATACCAGCCAGTGGACATCCTCTGGGTTGCCTGAAAGAACGGATGACGAGTGGTTCCTGCAGCCAAAGCCACACGGTCCTTGGTCAAGATTTGAACAACTCAAACCGCATGCCCGCATGAGTCAGAAACAGCCTTCGCTGACGACTAAAAGCGTGCCATGTTAAGCGTCACGAGACACTCGATCACTTGCTGCAATTAGTGGAGGCGTATCAATTGAGTTTCCCATACCTTCCGCCAGGATTCCTTAGGGTCAAACTTCACGTTACGAGGAAGCAAAACAGTTTTCATCGAGCTTCGGTAGAGATGATGAGCTTGGTTTAGGGCTTGAACGGGGCATGTGTTGAGAACCGGGAACCTCCACCGCTGACGATACAAAGAGTCAGGCCACTACAATTGCGTATTCTCTCCCAGGCAGCTTAAGAGAGACATGTTTACCTACCACTACCACTCGTATGTCACACGGTGGCCTCCATCTATCCCCGGACATGTAGATGTATTATCGTTGGCCAATCACAGAGCTTCAACTCCACAGAGTTTCCGTGGAGCAAGAGACATCAAGATCTATAAATGACCGCAAAGAAGACTATTTGGAAAGAGAAATAAAATACCAACCACCAGTTCCTTCTCCTAGTACCCATCATTAGCCAATATCCTGTCTTCGAGCTCAAATCCGACATGCTCTCTGTCGACTCCTGTTAGAATTCGAGACGCCCAAAGACTTGCTCATGGGAATTTCCAATGGTGTAAGCTTGAGTTCATATAATTGGGACTATCCTTACACCGTCCCAGCACCTGCACTTGCAGCTTGCAGCCGTTTGTCTCGGTATTGAATTGGGTTTGTTCCGGCTACTCTCTCAAAGCGAGATACCCTTGAGGTGGCCCAGTTGGCCCAAAAATCTAGGGCCAGTCCTCAGTTATTCAGTAAGAAATCGATACAAAGCTCCAGTCCATTGATCGCAACATTCCGTATCTGACTACTGCCACCTGTGACCTTTAGTATATGTACTTCGCTGCCTTGCGTCAAATGGACTCATCATAGAAGCAGACCACGGAAAGTTCAAAGCAAATCGACGGAGTAGAAACCATGGCACATGACATCTCCCAGACACAAGTCATCAAAGGCAAGTCCTGCATTCGTACTCAGCACAACTGGCCCAGTATCCTACCGTCCTCAACTAACATAAACATCAACCCTCCAGGCGCCAAGTTCTACTACCTTCGTAGAATCCTTCACGACTATCCAGACCTCCAAGGTATCCAAATCCTCGAGCATCTACGTGCTGCAATGGCCCATGATTCGCA